ATACCAAACTCTATGAATGATCCAGTAATTCCATTCCTAGTTGATTATACAAGAAACTAAAAACGTGTCCACAAAAAGGCTCGTACAATAATGTCCATAGCAGCTTTACTCAAATAGTCAAAAAGTGGAAACTGCCCAGGTGTCCATCAATATTCATATCATAGATTCTAATCATACTATGAAATCAGCAACCAAAAGGAACGAGACACTGATAGACACAACACAGATAAATCCCACATTATGAAAAGTAAAAGAAGACTTGCATAAAAAACAAATACTGTATGAGTCGATTTATGTGAAGTTCTGGAACAGGCAACACTGATATATGTGGAAAATAGAATGTGATTGCCTCTGGGGGGTCAGGAACAGGGACTGACTGGGAAGGGGCTCAAGGTAACTTTCTGGGGTAATGGTAATGTTCTCTATCTTGATGGAGGTTTTTTTTTTAGTTGTATACATTTATGAGATACAAGTCTAATTTTGTTACATGGATATACTGCACAATGGTGAAGTTAGGGCTTTCAGTGTATCCAACACCCACTGTATCCGTTAAGTAATTTCTCATCATCCACAGCGCCCCCCACCCTCCTACCCTCATGCCCCCACCCTCCTACCCTCACCCTTCCAAGTCTCCGTTGTCTATCATTCCACTTTCTATGTCCATGTGGAGACATTTTTAGCTCCCACTTATAAGTGAAAACATGCAGTATTTGTCTGCTTTGGAGCTGTTTCACTTAAAATAACAGCCTCCAGTTCCATCCATGATGCTGCAAAACACATTATTTCATTCTATTTTAAGACTGAACAGTATTCTATTATGTATATATACTACATTTTCTTTATCCCATCACCTGTCCATTGATAGGCATTGACTCCACATCTTTGCTATTGTGAATGGTGCTGTAATAAACATATAAGTGCAGGCGTCTTTTTGGTATGATTTCTTTTCCTTTGGGTAGATACTCAATAGTGAGATTGCTGGATGGAATGGTAGTTCTATTCTCAGTTCTTTGAGAAATGTCAATATTGTTTTCCATAGAGGCTGTACTTATTTACATTCCCACCAACAGTGTATAAGCATTCCCTTTTCTGATGGAGGTTGTATTAAACAGGTGTCAATTCATCAGATAAATTCTTTTTTTTTTTTTTTTTTTTTTTGAGACGGAGACTCGCTCTGTGGCCCAGGCTGGAATGCAGTGGCGTGATCTCGGCTCACTGCAAGCTCTGCCTCCCGGGTTCACACCATTCTTCCTGCTTCAGCCGCCCACCACCATGCCTGGCTAATTTTTTGTATTTTTAGTAGAGATGGGGTTTCACTGTGTTAGCCAGGATGGTTAACTCACATACCTTTTCTTAGTAAATTTGGCAATGAGCGTGCCTTTTGCAGTGGTGGTTTGTGGCTGCAGGAGTGTTTGTAGCGTATGTGAGAAAGTCACATATCTGATTCTCCCTTAATTCTCAGAAAACCCATGAAGTTTCCCCTTTTCACAAATGGGGAAATAGAGGATCACAGCATAAATTGCTCTGGAGCACACAGCTTGAATTCAAACCCATTTGAACGTATAATTCTGATTCTCACCTCTCACCCCACACTGTCCTGAAACTACACATTTCATGCCAGCGAGAAATGAAATGCTAATCTAGAACCAAACTGGGCCAAGGATCATTTAAGGCAGTGGCTTTCAAACTGCAAGGTAAAAAACATTTAGTAGGTTCCGACTAGCAACCTTCTTAAAGACTAGAAGACAAACCCAACTTCATCATGTTTCAGAATAAATTCTGGTCCCCAAATTTATTTCCTTTCATATAAATATTTATATGCATGTGTTTCTTGATGTGAAGATATAGTCCAGAAAAGTTAGAAAGCTATGGATTTAAAGATTGGCTTCCTCTAGATCTGGGGTTTGATTTTTCAGATTTGAAAAGTAATACTAGTCATGAACAGGCTGAGAAACGAAGGTTCTGAGAAAGGTGGCGCTGAACAGGTGTCCCTGGAGCAAATGCCTCGAGCCTTCTGTGGAAGAGGGATGCAGTTTCACCCCCAGCAGCAATGGCAGGCACCCAGGCTGTGTGCGACCACATGGGAGGGAATCGCTAACACAACTTCCCCTCGGCCTTTCCTCTCAGCACTTCACTAGGGTGCTGACAACAGAGAATTTTCATTTTTGATAGTCTGTATCAACTTAGGAGTCACCTATTTTCACTGCCATAATCCATAACTCATACCCCTAACTGACAAAACAAAACTTGAAAGCCCTGATGCTGACCACTTTATTTTTTTTTAATTTATCTATTTTTGTTTGTTTTTTGAGACACAGTCTCATTCTGTCACCCAGGCTGGAGTGCAGTGACGCAAACTCAGCTCACGGCAACCTCCATCTCCCGGGTTCAGGCAATTCTGTCTGCCTCAGCCTCCCAAGTAGCTGGGATTATAGGTGCGATTATAGTAGGTGGGATTATAGTAGAGACGGTGTTTCACTGTGTGAAACCGGGTGTGGTGGTGGGTGCCTGTAATCCCAGCTACTCAGGAGGTTGAGACAGGAGAATCGATTGAACCTGGGCAGAGGCTGCAGTGAGCTGAGATCGTACCACTGAGTGACAGAGCAAAACTCCACCTAAAACAAACAAACAAAAAATTCTAATACATTGTCATTATAAGCAACACTGTAATGAACATTATTGGGCCATGTCTCCTTGGATTCATACAGGAGTCTGTTCAAGGCATATAGTTGGAAGTGGAATTGCTGAGTTGTTATATATACATATGTTCCACTTTACAGCAACACAAAAATGAACTAAGACACCATCCAGTGAACACCAAGGGTTTATCTCCCATTACAGGATCTCAGATGTGTTTGTGTAAATAGACGAGCATACTAGTTCTAGTAGATGTGCAGAACAGACTGGAACTGCTGGGTCCAACCTCTTTACTTTACAAAAACAAAGGCTGAGTCCCAGAGAGTATGGAGGTGAGGAGCTAACCTATGGACTCCCTGCAGATGGGGAGGGAGGGATTAGGTATGGGTTTCCTGCAATCTGGTCTCCATTATTCCAGGAGCCACTTCCTTTGTTTCAGTGAGTAAGACATTTCAGTATGTGCTGCAAACAGTGCAAGCTTCAAAGTGCATGGGAGGTCTTGGTGCCTCCAGCTTCAGGAAAGCAATGAGAATTTTGAAAGCTTGCCCCATAATTAGTTCTCCCCAACAAACTTAATTCACCTGCCTATAATACAGGCTAAACAATCAGTCCCAACTCCATTCCAAAAAATTTTAGTTGAGCATTTGCAGTGTGCTCCAGCACCAAGTGCACAGGCTAACACATACATGAACACATAGAACGCATCATGTGTAGTACCGACGCCTGAACTTCGGCTTCCGCAAGCTTGATTCCTAACTCGGCCTCTCACTGGCTGTATGATTTTGGACGACTTTTTGACATTCGAGCCTCAAATTCCTCATCTATAAATTGTGGATAAAATTTGTACTTACCATGAAGGTTTCTGAAAAGTAAATGAGTTAATACATTGAGGTGCCCAGAAGAGTCCTTAGCCCATATGTATTTAGAAAAGATTTAGGGTACTTACTTAGTGCTAGTGCTGGGTGAAATAAAGACAAGGCCTTGGCCTTCAGGAGTACATTTATCTGAATGTCAAACAACAATCTCAGAAATGGGTGTGGTTTCCAGTCAGAGGGAGTGGTAGGTAAACATGCCAATCTAGAGGACATGGAAGAGATAAGAGGCCCCTCACCTCGAGGGTCTCTTTGAAGGGCCAAGAAACACACTCAGGAAACAATCCTAAACAAGGTCATACCCTCAGCACTGGGTCCAGGCTGGGTCCCAAGGCTTCAGCAAACACTTATTTTGGGAACCATACAGTCTCATTAGACAAACCAGGTCCCTAGAGGCACTTAGGGAGATGAGCCTCAAGGACACACGTGTGCTGGAAATAGCACAGGCACTTGGCATTCACAGGCCCTGACCCACACCCTGCCCCTAACTCCCCTCCCAACAACGCCCCTGCAGATGCCTCACCAGCGACCTGTCAGCTTCCTGGAGATCTCGTCCCCCTTAGGTTTTCGGACACTGTGCTTCCTGCTTCTTCCTCTGCCCTGGCAGCTGCCCCTTGGGCTCTCTCTCCTGCCCTCCAGATGTGAGTACCTACCCGCCACCCTTCACCCCTCATGGGCCTCACAAGCACCTCATCTCTAAAATGGAGACACCTATTATGAGGATTAAATAAAAGCTCTGACACGACTTTGTTCGGTCCCCTTCTCTGGGATGCTGCCATTCCCAGGCAGCTGGGCTCCACACCCAGGCCCCACCCTTGAATCCTCTTTCTGCCCACCCACCACCACCCACCAGGGCCATGTCTTGTGTTCTACCAGTTGGGCCTCGCTCCCCCTCCACTCTACCTATACTGCCAAAGACGTAACGTTACCAAGACACTCCTGAAAAACTTGCGTTTACTCCCCAAGGCTACTGCAGAGACTAAACGTTTTAGGCTTGCATTCAAGGCCTTCAGTGATCTAGCCCTAATCCACTGGACCTTTCCAACCTTTCCAACTTGAATCTCCACCATGATCCTTTTTCCCCTACCTGATTAAATCACTTGCTGGGTGGTGCACCATAAAATAAGGATTCTGGGCTGGGTGCGGTGGCTCACGCCTGTAATCCCAGCACTTTGGGAGGCCGAGGCGGGCGAGGTCAGGAGATTAAGATCATCCTAGCTAATGGAGATCGAACCACTGAGCTCCAGCCTGGGTGACAGAGTGAGACTCCGTCTCAAAAAAAAAAGGATTCTGTATCCAAATAAGGTGATTAAACAAAGTTTTTCCCAAGCTTCCTGTCCATCCGTCACACAGCCTTCCATTCAATTCCCTGGATGTTTCCCTTAGCCACGGTTGGTTTCTGAGGCTTTTGAGTTATTTGGGTCCTGAATAAAGCCAACTAAATCACCCCCGAGTGACGCAGCAGCTAGAGCCATCCCCCAGGTGCCGCACCTGTCCCATCTGGAGTGGACCTCACAAAGGTGGGCAGCATCTTCACTGCTGCAGTGGGGTGGGTGGTGGCTCCAAGCCCTTTCTCCATCTCCTTGCGGAACCGCTTAGAGATCTCCAAGAGGGTCTCATCAGAGAGGCGCATGTGGTAGAGATACTGGTCAACCTGAAAGGGGAGGAAGACAAGAGCAAAGCCATTGGTTAAATAAATTATGGCACAGGTCTATGTCATGGAACACTACTCAGCCCTTCAAAAGAACAAAATCTGTTATGTACAGAAAGTTATTATTAAAGACCATTAGTAGCAAACGATTTGACAGGACTTTGTCTTAAAAAAAAAAATTAAAATTATAAAAATAGACCTAATTTTTGAAGAACTGGTGCATACCAGAGGAAAGGCCTATTAGGGCAGAGGAGAGTTATTTTCAGAATGGTTGAGTCGGAAGGCCTGTGACAACATCACTGGAGCCAGGGTTCATTACCCTCATCTCTTGTTCCCCCAGTACCTAACACGGTCAGTCACATCAATCCCATTGCCCCTCACCCTAGGCCGGGTAGCCATCACCTTTTTCCTGGACTCCTACAATCCCCAGTTTGGCTTTTACCTCTTCCATCCACTTTCCATGCCCAGCCAGACTCAGCCTGAAAGCCAGCTGATCCCTGGCTTTCAGGGCTTTCCGTTGGAACAAAGCTCAAAATCCTTTCAGGGCCCCACCTCCTAATCGAGCCTCTAGCCACCTCCTAATCTTTTTTTTTTTTTTAATAGGGTGTCGCTCCAGTTGTCCAGGCTGGAGTGCAGTGATGAGATCTCAGCCAGCTTCAGGTGATCCTCCCACCTCAGCCTCCTGAGTAGCTGGGACTTTCAGGCACGTGCCACCTTGTCTGGCTAATTTTTTTGTTGTTGTGTGTGTGTGATTTTTCTTTTTTTTTTTTTTTTTTTTTTTTTTTGAGGCTGAGTCTCACCCTGTTACCCAGGCTGGAATGCAATGGTGCAATCTCGGCTCACTGCAACCTCTGCCTCCCGAGTTCAAGCAATTCTAGTGCCTCAGCCTCCCAAGTAGCTGGGATTACAGCAGTGTGCCACCACACCCAGCTAATTTTTTGTTTTGTTTTGTTTTGTTTTTTTCAGCAGAGACAAGGTTTCACCATGTTGTCTAGGCTGGTCTCAAACTCCTGGACTCAAGCAATCCACCCGCCTCGGCCTCCCAAAGTGCTGGGATCAAAGGGGTGAGCCACCGCGCCTGGCCCCACCTCCTAACCTTATGGTAAGGTCTGCACTCTTTGTGTAGATTCTCTCCCTGGTTCAGTTCCCCAACTTCCCCAACTTGCCCATCCCTGCCTTGGAGCTCATGCACACAGGCCCTCCAGGTATATGCCCCGCCAATCTGCTACCAGTCCTTCAGGCCTCTCTCCATAGAGGCCTCTTCTCATCCTCCAGATCACAATAGTCAGGCTCTCTGTTATTCTAAGAACTTGAGCTTTTCCCTTCACAAGACTATCCACAATTTGGAACTAAATATTTATTAGGGTCCAAATCATAAACACCAAAGGCTAGAGGAACAATGTCTACTTGTTCACCTTTGCACACCTGGAGGCTGGCACGGTACCTGGCACAATGGAGAGGCTCTATGTAAATGATAATGCACCCTCTGTGCTCAGGTGGAGGCAACTCTCCCTAGTTCTTTCACTGAATCTGTTTCCCACATAAATTCCCATGAACTTTTCCCAGATTTAAACCAGGAGAATGAGAAGCATCAGATAACTCTCACTTGTCTGTTTGTTTTGTTTAATCTTTTATTTATTAATTATTGAGGCAGGGTCTTGCTATATTGAGACAGGGTCTTGCTATATTGCCCAGCTTGTTTCCAACTCCTGGAATCTACCTCAGCCTTCAGGGCTGTGGGCCACTAGCCCCCCACCCTCCATCCCACAAGCTGGGTCCCTGACCTCTAGTTCCTACAATATCTGGGAGCCATGGTGCTCCTGAGGAGGCCTGGACCTCCCCTACAAGGACATTTGAGGCTCCCCAGGAAGACAAAGGGTGCAGCTTCGGCCTGACACTAGACAAGCCCCCTTCTTTTTGGTGACGTGTCAGACAAGTCTCTAGCCATCTCCAGTGACCCTAGTTTAAGGGCAACTCTGACCACCCCAGAGTCCTCCCACTCCAGATCCAGTGACACATTGACTGGCCCAGGAATGCTACTTCACAACTTTCACATCTCAGGGCTAATGTACAAAGTCTGGGGCTACCCAGACCAGAGGCCAATGGGAGGCCACATCCAGGAAAAGCCTGAGATGCACTCATGAGCAACTGTAATAATGGCAAGCCCTCATGTGGCTCCTGCTTTGCGCCAGATCCTATTCTCCACGTTTGCTCCCATTATTCATTTCATCCTTAGAACAGCCCTCTGAGGTAGGAAGTGTCAGCACCTCTATTCTACAGAAAGGGGAAGTCACACAGACACGAGGGGCCATGCTTGGCTTGATAGAGCAGTCTGGCTGGCCTGTGCTTTTGTCCACTCTGCTAGATGACTGCCTCCTACCTGCCTGGATACAGCAGGGTCTATGCAGGTCAAACAGCATTGCAGTGAATACAGGCTGGCCATATCCATTAAAAGGCCATCTTCTATTCCAGTCATCTCCCAATGCAGGCCTGAACGGCAGACAGTGGAGAGTGAGGCCCACAGGGGTGACCGAGCAGGTTGAGGGCAGCAGACATGTCTCTGAACATTGTCATGAGGGCGACACGTGACAAAGACACTCCCACCTCACTACTTTCCCAAAGAAAGGCCCAGAAGCCTCACTGATGCTCCCCACCTCCCCGCCAACTCCACCCTCTATAGAAGGCTTCAGATGTTTGCAAAGGGCGCAGGAGCTCCTGCACTGAGAAGCTGAGCCTGTACCACCTCATTAAAAGGTCCCATCATCATGTCCAGAAGCATGAGGTTGTGCACACACAAGAGTTAATTCTATAGCAGCCAATCTTAGTTTATCTTCGATGTTTAAACTGCTTCAAGACTTGTTGGAAATCCAGTCAGACACTTCTCATCCTTAACCCTCGAAGAATCAAATTAAATGGTCACCCTTTATCCACCTTGCCTTTTGTCCCATAGATAACCATCTTCCACGTGTTCAATGACAGATGAAAACAGTAGTGGTGATAGTTACAGCGGCTAAACATTCCTCAAGCATTTCTCACCTGTCAGGCACCATCCTCCGGCTTTACTGACCTGTTCTCCATTATCTTTGTAAAACTTCTGTACCCCCATTTTATAGATCACTTGGGTGATGAGGGGCAGAACTGGGATTCCACAGAGGTCTCTCTGGCCCCAATGCCAGACCCTCAGGACAGCCACCCTCGCCTGTCCTGTGGGCCCCTCTTAGTGTAGCTGGGCACTCCCTGCCTGCCCTGTGGTTTCTCGGATGACCCTGGGACCTTAGTTTCCTCTCCATCGCATGAGGAGACTAAGAGAGAGGATATGAAACAGTGAAAAATGTCCAGGCCAGTAGCTTGGCCCAAACTTTCCCTCTTTCACATCGGAGCTGTTTGAACTATCAAAACTTGAGAATAGATGGCACCAGGGCATGATGATGTGTTCACTCAGCTTATTGGGGCCACTCAGGAAGGGATAATTAATAATTAATCACTTAATGTCACAGCTTCCTAAACACACCAGTGGAGCCCACCCAGCCCTGGTAGGCATTGCTGTGTTGGTGGGCACTGCTGTGTTGGTAGCCAAGGGAAGCGGAAGTCAGAAACAAGAAGCAGCCACCATACAAAGATGATTTTCCTGGATTGGGAAGGAGATGAATGCAATTTTCAGAATCTTGCCAACTTTCACCCACAGTGCCATCATTGGAAGGAGCACCAGGCCCAATGTCAAGGGAGAAAGCCAAGCAGGTGATAGCAGATGTACACACAGCAGTGGGAATGCAGCTTAAAAGTATTCACCCTTAGAAAGGAAAGGCCCTTAGGGTAACTAGTTCAAAAATCCCACTAAACATAGTATTCGAGTTTATCTAGTTTGTCTCTCTCCACCTAGTCATCCAGCCGAGGTTTGAATACTTCCAATCCTGAGAGGCGCACTATTTCTCTCAATTCCATTATTGAACAGCTCTACTTGTTTCAAAGTTTCCTCAATCAAAGATAAATCTGCTTTCTGATACTTCTGCCTAATCTCCATCCTGTCACTTGTGATAAGAGTTTCCAAACTTGCTGCACATCAGAATCACAAGAGGAGCTTTCAAAAAAAAACAGTAAGAATTCCAAGGATCCATTCCAGACTAACCAAATGACACCTCGAGGGCTGGGGCTCAAACACTTTCCCCTCTCTTCTGGCGGGTTTCCAATATGCCAATAATGTGCTCGTGGTTGGCCCTGTTCTGATCAACTCTGCATACCACTTTTCTACCTGGGATCTTTGAGAATCAGTGGTTAAGATATTAGGCCAGCTGTGTCCCTGTGAAGTAATCCTGTGTTGATCCAGACTGCTGGGAGTTGGGAAGACAAACCCTACATTTGTTGTTAAGAGATGTAAGTTTCTGGAAACTATCAAAGCAGACTCATTCAGGTCAACCCTCGATTTGTAGCTTGTGGTGGTGACAGGAGTGCTCTGGCATCAGAAACACCAGTATGCAAATCCTAGTGGTGGCGTTCATTAGAGGTTGTGCGACATTAGAGGACTCACTCTTAATCTGAACCTCAGTTTCGTCTCCACAAAGCCCCACACGATAGTCATAAGCATAACTGTGGGGACAAACGAGTTCTCTATCACCCTCCCCTTTCCTTCCACCCCTTCTTTCTTCTAAGGCTTCTCTCCACCCAGGGGCACCTTCAGGCAATCAGACATTTCTCAACCCTCCTTAGTCACAAAGCAGAGGCTGTTTCCCCAAACTATTCCTTCTCTTTCTGTGATAGGCGTGGACAAGGCTGTTTCTCTTTAAATCTCTATCTGGGAGAGAGAAGGAAAGGGGGAGGGGGCATTCCAGGCTGGGGAATCAGAGGCAGGCCAGAGCAAAGCCTGGCTGAGGAACGGGTTACCTTCCCGTCTGCCAACCTGCCAGCCCAGGAAGAGAGGGCGTGTGTTAGACAGAAAGAGATAGCACTGTTAGTTGATATCTCTTCAGCAAGGGTTAGATTAGAGCTTCCTCATTGGGTAATTTTGG